AATTCATGTATTGAAAACTCTAGTTGAAAGATTTCCAATGCGAATGTTTTGTATGAGTTTTAGAGTTCTCACGGGTGATCATTTGATAAATAAATAAAGTAAACAAAATCTCAACTCAAAAATTTAGTTATTTTATTGTCATTTAAATTAAAATTAGAATATTTTTTAATAAAAAATTTACATACCAAAAGAAATAAAATTTGAGTGGAACTCTTGTGTTGATAACTTGATAAAAAGTGTATATATATTTATTTCTTACTTATATTTCTTACTTATATGATATTTTTTTAGACATATTAATGAGAACCGACTCATGTTTTTTTGGACAAAATAAATCACATCTTTTAATAGTTATATAAAATAATAATTTAAACATAGTTATTTAAATCTGTATTGTATAAAATATTATTACATTTAGATGTGAAACATACAAAATAAAACTTATTTAAAACGTATATATATTAAGCATTTCTTCTTTAAAAAAAAAACAATTTCCCAAAAAAATTGGGTCCCATAGTTCATGGGTCCAGAGTGATCCCACTGCTGGCTCGCATAGTTAAGCCGGCCATGATACCAACCCGTTGATCAAATTTTCCACAAACAATATGATTTGTGTTCAATTGTTCTGTTATTTTAATCATAAAACTCCTTCCACTATTCAGTTTTAATCATAAAAATTGAATTATTTTCTCCTTCCACTATTCGATTACATTTTTCTTAGTAGTTATAACATATTGCTTTTGATATTACCAGTTGATTTTTTTTCTTGCAAATATTCTTTTTGTTTTTGTTTTTAATGCTAATTTATTATAATATTACAATTATGAAAAATATTATATATACGATTCGATAATTGACAATGCTATATGTCTTATGATAATCTATATTTAATTATATTACTTGGACTGTCTTATGAAAATTCATATTTTTTTTTAATTTGCATAATTGTTTAATAAATCATTTTTGTCGAAAATTGTAACTTGGATCTCTTAGTATAAAAACATTAGTGAATCTTTAATCCAATCACTAAACTAAAGTTTCCACTTCTTGTCAATATTTTGGACGTTAGTTTATTCACTCTTAACACAATGATGTCTCTCTATCATATTTAATTTCTAGGTCCATTTTCGATCTTATATATCCTATTTATTTGTGTGGGCTATCTTGTATATATATTCTTCGTTGATCACTTGCTTAACAAATATATATATTTGAAAATCTGACTATATATCACCAAAAGATATTTGAAAAACTTGTAGGAAGTCCTCCACGTCGTTATCGGACAACGATCAAATGCTCAATATAAATTCGGCGAACCAAGTCATTAGACATGTAGGCCATGCTCAATAAACTACAATAACTATTTTTTTGCTAAATTTTGGTGCAATAAATTACAATAATAGCAAAACAACTTTAAATTTATATATCGATGATGAGTCTATCTATTCTGATATCTAGCTATAATGACTATGATGGCTTAAAACACACATGGTTTTTATCAGAGCATATCCAATTTATTATTCTTTTTATAAATATTGCTATTTTCTTCTCTATTTAGGAAAACAATCAGCAATTTCTACTTTTACCCAATATTTTAAAGAATGTTATTTAAAAAATTATTGGTGTAATATCTATAGTTATTATAGAGTTGTTCTTTTTTTTTTTTGTAAAAATATAGCAATATACATATAAAATGGTCTTAGTCATTCTCATCTCTACAGAAAAGTTTCAGATACGGAGAATACAAGTTTTGTTTGCCTAATTAGCCCAAGCATTGGCATAAATTGCTTACAAAGTAAAAACAGTACGTTAACTTTTTGAATTAATAGATGTGTAAAACCTGATTTAACGGATTGCTGTCTGCCACTCTTTTCTGGTACTAATGAGAATTTAATAGAGTTGGCCCAAGGTTAATTACTTATTTTAGGTTTTGTACCACTAAAGATTCGGTCCTACCTTATTTATAAAATGAGGTTGTAACCAATAACCACTTCGGTCTCGGGCCAACCACAGTGCTGACTATTATTATGTATTTCATTTTTACGTTACGTTATTATTTAATTGACTGTTTTTTTATGTCTAGTCAATAAATAAAAAACTTATAGAACAACAACAAAATATATATAGTTTCAACTACGTGTCGTCCATTGAAGATCATTATAGGCGTGAAACAATTTTCGTATTTTAAATAGTTTGAATTCACATATAATAATCTTCCCGGTTAACAAGCCGAGTACAATCATTTGTAAAACGACATGAATGTACGTGTCCATTACCAATTCTATATTTATCCTAACGATACTTTAATAATTAAACGTCAGACTTGGACTGAATCAATTGTTATTTCTTAAAATTAATTAACTTTGTATCTCTAGAATTGTATTATGGTTATAAACTTATAATGATCGGTTTGATTGGTATCTCGCACGGAAGGTTTGCCGCTTAATTAATATCATACAAAATGAATATGACAACCAAATATAATTAAAAATAATATGTGAAAAATAGTTAAAAAAATATGGCAACCAAATAAATGAAACATGTGAAAGGATGATAAAATAGGATACTCATCCTGGCTCTCACAGGCCTGCTCCCTAGCCCAGTACTACAATATCAATCGGGCTCAGTTACCAAATTAAACTATGAATCCAAGTTCGTTTCATTAAGGCTTTCTGCATTTTGCCCATTTGGATGCACATGGTAGTTCAGTGTGTGTGTGTGTGGGGATGTCTTTTGCCAAACTTTTTTTTTTTGATATTTCTTTGTTTAGCTGCTGCCTTGTATTCCTTCTAAAAATGGAAATACAATATTTTTGAGTGATGGTAGCTTGAATGGTAAAATTTATATTTTCATTCTTGTAGAGATTGTCTTATTTCTACGGTTGTAGATAAAAAAAGTGAAAAAATTAAAATAATTAAAAAACTATATAGATGATAAAATCCCAGTCTACTAGAATTTTTGATTACCAGTGAAAATTTGTTTTTGGAATTGTCGGCCAAAAGGGCCGGCTTGAACGTGATGATGGACCCTTTACTTCCGGAACTTATTTTGTCTTTCAGTAAAGATTTTCTTTTAATTATCAATGCATATTGCACAGGTCAAGCCGCGTCAATATCTTACTTTAGAAGTACATCTCTTTCTTTTTCCTTCTCATTCTGTGTTTATTCATTCTATAATGCATCCAGTTTCGGAGTTGACCTATAGTATTAATTTACACTAAATCCTAGACTTATGCCATGAAATTCCCAAGTTATATTTTATTAATGTTAGCACGACTTTCTTTCGTCGTCGAACTACAGAGAAACATGAGTTACAAACAAAGGGGTATATATCATCATGTTGAAAGGCCAATATTTCCAAAATCAAGGACACATGTCCACGACTCTGTCTCTCTATAACTTATGTATGGGTTGTGAATATATCATACACGTGAAACACACTTTAAAAGATTTCCGGATCAATGTGAACACTTTTTATATGACGGCTTCATAAATAATATTTATAATATTTGTATATATATATATATATATATGTATATGCTTTGTATATATGGTTTTGAACTGGACTAAGTTATCGTTATCGTGCAAGTCGCACATATCATATAACTTATGACATGATTCTAGAATATGTATATACGAGATGGACGCTAAGAATTAGAGATAACATATACTAATAATACATTTTCCCAAATCACCGTGTCTAAGTTAGAATGAGATAGATCATAGATGGTGCATTTAGAGATAATATCAAGTAGTATATTAGAGTTATAGTTTCTTTTTAATTTGGAAGATTAGCCATATTGATAGTGTATATATATCTATGCATACGTGAACCTGCACCTGAATAGGCCAACCTTGAAATAATTTATTTGGCTAGTTTTATATGCAGTTGTTACTTTGGAAAATATTCGCCGTCCTGTTGTTTTTCTTTCGTCGACGTCGATCTATTGTTTATTGCATACGTCGATCCACTGTTTATTGTATACAATAAAGATTAAAGCAACAAGAAAATCTTAAAAAAAAAAATAATCGCAACTTGCTCGTTCTTCATTGTGTGTATGGTGTATATTGGATCTATAAGGAATCGCCAACAAGGCATATCCCTTCGTTTGATTATTCCACGCAATCATTCAGCTAAAAAATGATTTATATACGTGGCCATTATTATGTAAGTATGCAACTTTTTACTACTTTTGCTAAATAGTTTTTTTTTTAATAAAAAAATAAAAAAACACCAGTGAGAATCATTTATAGGGTATATGTAAGCATGCGCTGATCAGAAAATGAAGAGTGTGCTAAAACTTAATTTTTTTCTAACACTCTATTTCTAAATTGAATATGCAAGTATTTATCTAATTTTTTTTTAAAAATAAGTGTAATTCATTTTTTGTCAACACCTATTAGTTTATTCTTGTTTGTTTGTTATAAATAGGTCTTATATGAAATGATGCAAGTATTTTTGCAAAAACCAAAATCATGGTTTCTAATTTCAATTATTGGATATTGTCGAAGACAACTCATCGAGCATTGGCGACAGAAAAGATCAACGCTGGTAGTAAACCACGATTATAACGCAGCCAACCCAGACAAAAAAAAAACTTGAAATTCAATAAAAACTAAACTCAAAATTTAAAAATACCCATAATTTAATATTAGCAAAATTAATGCCGTGACTCGGAACTTAAATTATGTTGTTTTATCCCATAGTTGAACAATAAAACTGCTTGCAAAATGGTGTCAGATTCCACGTGACAACTTCTCATTGGCCAAATTAGTCAATTAATACCAAACCGAAACGGCTGAAAGTAAATAACTATTTATATTAATTGTTTTTTTTCAATTTATGTGAATATGTTTAGAGAGGGTCGGTTTCATTACCAGCTGGCTTAACTCCACATAGACGGCGAGGATTAAGTTGTCAGAATATCAAATAAATCTGACGTGGCCTATACTTTTCTCCCCCCACCTTTAAAAACACCAATCATTGCTTCTCCTTCGCCTTCACATCCTCTCTTCCTCTCTATCTCTCTCCAACGATGCTACTCTCAACACCAGAGGTCATGATCACCACTCACCAGCCATCTCCAGCGTCAACAACACAAATCTCATACGACGAGCCAGAGCCTGTGACGTGTGACTGCTGTGGATTAACCGAGGAGTGCACAAAGTCTTACATAGAGAAGATCAGAGAGCATTACATGGGGAAATGGATCTGTGGACTATGTTCTGAAGCTGTGAAGTACGAGGTTATAAGAACAAAACGTTTGTTAACTACTGAGGAAGCCTTGGCGAGACACATGAACATGTGTTATAAGTTCAAGTGCTCAAGCCCACCTCCTAATCCGACAGGACGTTTGATCTCTGCGATGACACAGATCTTGAGAAGAAGTTTGGATTCTCCGAGGATGCTTAGATCAATGCCTAGTAGTCCTTCTAGAGATGAAGATGATGATTGTGTTTCTAATGTTTTGTCTAGGTCCGATAGCTGCTACGCTAGTTTGACTTGAAAAAAACAAAAATGTTTAAACCGGGTGATAACCGTTCGGTTTAAGGATCACCACCTGGAAAAAGGATCCGGTTTCAGATTTTAATTTTTCGTCAGTAACCAAGATTGGTCTCTGTATGTATTTTGTTTTTTGCTGGATTTTGTGTACCCTGTGGAAATTTTTGGGCTAAATGCTAATAACTTTGAAGGTCTGGAGTTGTGTCATTGTGAGCTTAGTTAGACAAGAACAAAATAATGTTGATACTATTCGATTAAACTTGATGATTCTTTACTAATTTATCATATTGAAAAGACATGTATGAACAAAAACCCTCGATGGTAGTAACTAGTAGGACCATGCTTATCTTTATGATGATTCTCTATCACAAATTAGGAATGGCACAAGGTGAATTCTTTGAGCATTAGACACTAACAACCTATTTATTTTGTTCTTTGAAAGTTTTACTTGCATTCATCAGAATGATAATAATGCGTTGTATGAATCGGTAATAGCATACAAAACGTTTTGAGATATGTTTTCTTGTTTATAAATAATTTAGATGGTTTTTTAAAAATGAATAATTAGATGGGTTGGTTCTTCAGTTTTCACTAACTCACAATGCAATAGTATCCACGATTGGAATCTATTCTATTATGATAAACTGGAAAATAATTAAGAATCATATTTGAGCATAATTGTAACATGTAGGCACTCACATATGACATTGATTCGAAATTTGTATTACTTACAAGTACATTTTTCCTTCAACTTGCTATATATCTTCTGAAAATATAATTAAACCGAAGAAAAAGGAAAACAATAAATGTGATATAAACTAGAAGCTGGAAGGGTGTTTGATTGAAGAGAATCACATGTGAGAAATGAATGTAAGGCGTACACAACACAAGTTTCTATTTGTGTGTACTGAAAGTCTCAAGTTAACAATAACGTTTGGCAAAAGAAAATTGAACTTGAAGTTTTGTTTTCTATGTTTCTTGGTTAGAAGTTATATTAATTGTTTTTTTGTTTTGTTTTGAAAGAAACATAATCAATTGTTGTTTTAATAGTGTTGTCTTAAAATGTGCTGTTTGCTTTTCTGCGACTCGTCGTAGTCTAAACCCCAATCTTGTAAAGTTGGATCTAGCTCAGTTGCTTTTGGAACCTTTTTTTTTGTAGGCGTGTTTTGTTTTTACTCTGGTATGTCTTCTTGATGTGACTTTTGAACATGTAAGAAGTGGTAAGCTAAGTAAGCTGGTGTAGTAGAGAACACTTAAAAAAGATGCACAAAAGACAGAGTATTTACATTAGCATCCCTTATGAGTTATGGCTAAACGAAAGAAAGGTGCGCTTTGAGGAATCCATGATAAAAGATTGTAACATGGTCTATCAAACCCATGTATGTATTGAGTTTGTGGAGATGTGACTTTTACATTTAGGGGATGCCTTTGGGTATTGTACATAGAGTATGATTAACTTTTATGATTAGTTCAACCAATCATTTCGTAAGATAGTGGAGTCATGCGTCTATCGTCCCATTATGTCTATTCCCATTTTGTCAATGTCATTTGCTATTTTTCTTTTCCCGTCAATGTCACTTACTCTGAATTTTCCAATTGCATAAAATGTACTTTATATAAGTATGCAGAAAATATCTATATCTTTTCTTATTTCCTGCCTAGAAAAGAGAATATACTTTTACAAAAAAAAAGAGAGAGAATATAATGCCTAAAAGTATTTAATCTAGGACTCTTAATCTAGTGTACGATCAATTATTATAAGTTTATCACTGTTTATAATATGCTGCCCATCAAGGAAAACAAAAACAGAGAATCAAAACGTCTTACTAAACGTCTTATCAGACACAAACAAAGCGCAAGTGCCCGAACTTAATGAATGGATCGCATCTGGAAAATTGTAATATAATTAAAAAGTTTACATTAACTTGGTTTCAATTCCTTAGAAAGTTTGTCAAAGTCGATAACTGATTTCTGAAGTTTTAAGAAATTTCATTTTTAGATAGATTATCTTATGTATAAATACAATATCAGCTGAATAAGTGTTTTCTTCGACTCAAATAAAAAAAAAAAAAAAACAAATTGAATTAAAACGAAATAGCAACAAACCAAATCAAAACCAAGTTGAACTGAAACAAAACAGTATTACCACCCGGTTTAAGCTCCTATAAACCCGAAAAAGTGAACCAAAACCAAACCACAAGCCGGTTTATGACTGGAAAATAAATAAGTGACAAGAAAAAAAGAACAAAAGTAAAACACTCTGTCTGAATCAGAGGTTCGGACACGTTATCAAGGTTCCATCGTTTTACGCTCAGCCGTATCAATGGCGACGACCATCATCAGAAGACCGTTAAACTTGACGGCGGCCGTCCGGTTTCGACTGACTCCGTTACTCCCCTTCTCCGTCAGCTCTAGCTCCGTTAACTCGAACACAACTCAATGCTCTGAGTTAATCCAAGTACCGAGTTTAGTCGAAGGCTGCGATTACAAGCACTGGCTAGTGCTCATGAATCCTCCCAAAGGATACCCACCTCGAAACGACATCGTCCAAAGCTTTGTCAAAACCCTAGCATTGGCTCTAGGAAGGTAACTAATCAATTTTTCATAAAGGTAACTCCTTTAATAAATAAAGGTTAAACCTTTGTGGTGTATGATTGTTGTTGCTTGTTGTTGTGTAGCGAAGAAGAAGCTAAGAGATCGATTTATTCTGTTTCCACAAAGTATTACTATGCATTTGGATGCAGAGTTCATGAACCTTTAACTTATAAGATAAGATGTATTGACATAAATCTTTCAAAACCTCATTTTTGTGGTCTGGTTTTGTTGGAAAATGCTTTGAAGTGTGGTTTATGTTTTGGTTGCAGCTCTGCCTGATGTTAGATGGGTTCTGCCAGATTCATACGTAGTGGATTGTGACAGTGGATATGGAGGTTTGGTTTGCTGCATCTTTGTGCACTTACTCTAGTATTGTTGGGTTTCTTTAGTACACTCTTTGTTTATTAGTCATGCATTGTTTTCTTTTGCAGGAGAGCCGTTCGTTGATGGGGAGGTTGTCCCGTACGATGAGAAGTACCATGCGGACTGGCTACGAGATCAGACTGATGAGGATGCTAAAAAGAAGCCTAGGAGGAAGAGAAATAAGAAGTTGAACTAATTTTTTTATATGTTTGGTAGATTTGTTATTTTGGAAGTCTTCTTGCTTCAGTGAGGCGCTACTCAAGCCTGCTGACTTTATGGAATGAATGTTCTAGTGTTACTACTATGAGCTATTGTAAATAATCCTAGGTGTAATTGTTGTTGGGTGTCAATTAAAATCGGGATATTGATTAGATTCCACATCATTTTGTAGCTATTGAACTTGGAAGCTATACAGAACGTGTCTCCATGTGAAAATTCATGGGAGTTTTCATATATATATATGGAGGTTTATGTTTCAGTTGATGATGAAAGTTGAAATAAAACTGATGATGTAAGCCAATGCTAGTATAAGGATCTCTAATGCTTTACTGGTCTCATCAAAATCTGGATAATCAATGATACACTTTGACTGTTCATTACAGTTTTTGTTAGTGACATATAACCTGTTATGTATTGAAGTCTCCTTAGAAAATAGACCAATCCACCAAATGGCTGCTTCTTTGTCATTCAGGACCAATGAGAAAACTAGATGAGAAGAAAGCAACAATTGAATTGGTTTTCTACACGTCTTTGAGTGGGGTTTGGTGTGGGATTAAGAATTCTTCCTTCATGACCAAGGTATGTAATCTAATCTGGTTTCATTATGATAACTGTTTTGTCTGAAACTGGAAACATGCTTGCGTAGTTGGTGAACTACAGTCAAATTTAGGACATGATGTTGAGTCTTTGTGGTGAAAAATAAAAATCCAAAGTAGTACTGTCCCTTTTGAACATTGCATACAATTCAGACTTACACATCTTTTTGTTACAAAATCAAAAAATAAAATTGACTGCTATCTATGTAGCTCACTTTTTAAGCTACGTTTCTCTATCACAACATTTCTGCAAATTTTCACAGAAATCCTATTGTATTTTCACTTATCTAACACAACCTTATTTTTTGTATTTCTCCTGTATTATTTACTATAGTTTCCTAATTTCTATACCTGTATAAAGATTAAATAAATATACTTTTTGTTGCGTTTAATTACTCCGCTTGTGTGTATAAACTAGTTCCTAGACTCTTGTACAGTGTAGTGTCTGAATACACGGCACGAGACTTCATTGCCTTATGTTTACGTCTCTTCCTCCGTCCTCCACGGTGTCTTGGACAGACTTTTGCTTCTTTCTCTGTCTCCTCCTTTGTGACTTTGGCATCATCATCATCCTTGCATGTGATGTTATTTGCACCTGCTACTGGAACAATATACACAAATGGCCCGTTTTGGATGTCTTTGAGGTCTAGAATTGGCCCCAGGGTCTTGACCACGGTGGTCATAGTGGGCCGTGACTTAGGGTTGTGGCTCAGGCACTGGTAAGCCAGAGCAGCTGCTTTTCTGATGCCTTCAAGTGAGTATCTCCCTTCGAGGCTAGGGTCTATGATTCGTTCAAGCTTGTTGGGATCCTTTAACATAGGTCTTGCCCATTCCACTAGGTTCCTCCTCCCTCTCTGTGATGACCTGTACTTCTCCACTGCCTTTCTAGCTGTTAGCATCTCTAGAAGCACCACTCCGAAACTGAACACATCGCTCATAGTTGTCAAGTTACCTGAAATACACCAAAAAACATGTAAGATAAGAATGTAATGGTTGTAATTTAAGTAGCCTTTTATTTAACCTGTTGAGATGTATTCTGGAGCAGCATAGCCTTCTGTGCCCATGACACTTTTGGTGAAGTTTGAGTCTTCTGCCTCTGATCCATCTGTGGCTAAACCGAAATCTGAAAGCTTAGAGCTGTAATCCTGAAAGTTTCAGATATACATATATATAAGTTTTATTTGACATGACAAAACATATATTGAAATGAAAAAAAAAGCTTTGAATTACCGAGGTTAAGAGGATGTTAGAAGGCTTGAAATCTCTGTAAATAACAGGTTTATTTCCTTTGTGAAGGAAGTCAAGGCCTTTAGCAGCACCAAGCAGAATCTTCACTCTTGTTAACCAAGGCAAGGCTCCACCATACTCTGCATTACACCAAACAGTACTCCTCATATTGTTAGTAACTTGCATCTCTATATAACAATCATTCTTTGATTTTTTTTTTGTATGAGTTAACTTGACTTACTTTGAAACAGATGGTCTTCAAGATTGCCTCGTTCCATGTATTCATAAACTAGTAGCCTGTGATCATCCTCACAGCAGTATCCGATCAAGTTCACAAGATGTGGATGCTTCAACTGACCAAGGATTATAACTTCAGCCTGCATAGTGTCAAAGAAACGTTTTAAAAAAAAAGTTTAAATGCTACCATTCTCATATGATCTGATTCAAGTTGACAATATTATTACCAGCCACTCTCTATGGCCTTGTCCACCTTCTCGTTTCAAAGCCTTGACAGCAACAGGCTGAGCTTTCAAACCAGTCTTGAGGCTATCATCAACAAACCCTTTGTAGACTTCTCCAAATCCTCCTTCACCGAGGTAGTTATGTTTTGAGAAGCCTTGTGTGATGGTTTTGAGCTCTTCTAAGGTGAAGATGTGAATGTCTGTGAGGAAAGAGTTTGAGAAGTCGTTGAGTGAGATGGTTGAGTTGCTGAAATCAGACAAGTAGACTCTGGTTGGAACAGAGGTTTGTCTGGTGAGCAGAAGAAGTCTTTCTTTAGATGGATTTGTTGTTGTCTTCGTCTGGTTTGTGTCGTTCATGCAGCTTATAGGAAGACATATGTTCTTCCAAGAAAATCTCATTGCTTTCATCTGAAAGAATTTTATATTTGTTTCTTTCAGAAGATTTTGTCTCTCTATATTGTTATATGAGTTTGTTTTATGAATATATATAGGAGATGGTGAAACTTCTTTGAAAATAGTGGTGAGATATTGGTGAAGACTCACAAAAAAGTAAGTCTGTAGTCTTAAAAGGACATCCAAGAAGATATCAACCACTTAGTATAATCAATTGTAATATAATATGCAAATGAGTAAGATTTTTCTTAGATCCCTCTGTTTTCTATTCCTTTATATTTTCAGTTTCAAACTTTAGTTTTAGATCAAAACTCTATTTATGAAGTATATTATATCCTAAGCTACCAAGATAAACTCTGTTTCTATTATTGTTAGTACAGTTCTTGTATTTATTTTCATTCCAATTCAGTGTTTTGGTTAATTATATGATACAAATTGTCATTAATTTATGACAACAGATTAGCTTAGATGTGCAAGAGACATTCTCAGAGACGGTTTTGGATCTATTAGAAATTTTCTTTGACTATCTCAAGCCATCTCATCCTTTTTTATGTTTATTGGCTACTATCATACACTTGTAAGTTGTTAATGAAATGGTTATATATGTATCATTTATTCACTTTCATTCTAGAAGAAATGTTGCTTCTGCTAAATAAACTTGGTTAGTTCTCTAAAAAATTAATAGTAATTTGGACTGTTTTCTGTCTCTTTTTCTCTGTGAAGTTGGAAATTTGGAATGTTTAATCCAATACCTTTGGCTTTGGCACTGGCTTTGGCCACACCATTGACTTGGAACAATGGTTTCATCCTCTGTTTTCTCCGTTAGGCTGAGTTGTTAAAAAATCAAATACAATTTTAATACTATATCCAAGTCGGTCAATTATATTTTACATCCTTATTTCGATTAATAAAAAGAATTAATACAATTTATTTATAATAATTTCACCTTATGTCGAAGTTTATAGAAATCTCAAATTTTTATTTTCAACAAATGTAGAGTTCCACTAAATCTTCTCCTGTCGTGGCATACTCACACATATAATATGGTTGCATGCGCAAGAAATTTGTTTTGTAATTTATTTTTTGACGCAAACACAAAGTTGGTTATGTTACTACGTGGTGGCCGTATGAGTATGATGCACCATATTCTTTTCTAATAAATTGTAATACAAAGCAAACGGAGATTTGCTTTTCGTTAAGGTCAATTTTCTCATTATCATTCATTTTTCAACATTTTAAAATATTCTGAGAGCGATAGGGCAACAACTTCATTGCCAAATCGTTTGAAGAAAAAGCCTGAACATGGAAAAATACGTTACCGTCGTTACGTAGCTTTTTATTGTGTGCGTTTTCATGGAAAGATACTTCAAAAAAAGGAAAAGCTATAGTTAGGTAACTTAATAGTTTAATGAGAAACTGATACATCTTAAGTTTTTTTTTACTGATCAAAGACTCAAAAGTTGGCGTAAACAAAGACGTGAACTGCCTTTGAAAGGGGGAAAAAGATGTGAACTGTACTAACATCTAGTGACACACATTTACCACGTGATGTATATACTAGGTTTTTTGTCGTCATATATTTTCATCATCTTCACAAAATTGTATCATCATCATCATATCATATCATCATTCTATGTACTCAGAGTCAGATATTTGTCAATTGCTTCTAGAGAAGCAGCAAACGTAAAACTATATTATATACCACATAATATATTATATATACATGATAATCACATTTTATATATTTAATGGTATACAGGATTGATAATCACATATTATATATTTAATGTAGATGGCATATAGGATTTAAAGATATAATTGAAATTGAACCAAACCAAACTGGACTAACATGGTTAGTTTAACTAATTTGACCTTGAAAATCAAGTGGTGCTAAACTTAATCATTACAGGACTGTATGGATTTTAATAAGAATAAATTATGTGAATGAGATCAATGCATCTAATTAAATAAGACCGGCAAGTAAGAATATAAAGTAAAAAAAAAAAGAAGAAGAAGAGGATTTGGATGAAAGGTGTGAAACATATCAGAAATTAACAGTGCATTTGAATGTAAAAAACTTTTGACTTCTATTCTCCCTTTTCTTACCACATGAAAGACCAAATGGAGAAAAAACATGTGTATACAAGACATAAGAAACGAAAAAGAGATATAAATGTAATCATGATTTCAGGTGTTTCAATATAAGACAATTGTTGGCAACTTTGAGTATATTTTTTTTAAAAAGGAACATGTTATAAAAATACACTATTATAAAAATGACTTTCGATCTTGTGGCAGCTGCGGAACGGCATCAATAAGAGGTTGCCTCTTGATCTTGGTCCATTTTACATGGATATATTATTTAGAGCAAAGGTAAGCAATCACGTGTTCTTGTTATAAATGTATAAACACTCTCTAACCGCAAAGAAATTAAACACGTTAAGCCCCATTCTCATTTGAATTCAAGACGCCACAACAAGTATTTGTCTATACTTCAATATATTACGTCTGTGCATACACACACAAATACAAGTGCCAAAACAAAAGTGCAAAGATAATTTACTGCTTGGCAGAAGACGGTACCTTCAAGTAGAAGTACGTCTTTTTCTTTCTCTTAATCTTTTTAAGAGAAAAAATAGACTGTATTTTTAAGAATTAAAATAAAAGACTAATTTGTTTAGGTTGTGTAGGATAGACGATTTAGAGTTTAAGACTGATTACGTCTTTGCATACACATACTCACATACGAGTGCCAAAATAAAATTGTACGCCGGCAGCTCTAAATCAAACTATTTGGACTTTATAAGTGCAATGATAATAAGAAAAGTAGTCCAAAATTGTCAAAAATAGACTACATATAAAAATATTAAAAATACATTTTTAAAGCTTTTCTGTTAACGTTTTGCAGAGTTGGAGAATTAAGGTTTATAGAGCATAATATTTAGGTTTGGACTACAAGATTTAGAATTTTGGGTCTAAACATATATATATATATACTAAGTTATTTCTGTTATTCTCATTACATTGTAGGCTATGAGGTGAGAGAAGGAACTTCCAAATAGATGTATGACCACTCTTTATTGTCATATTTAACTTCAACGGGCTCAATCTCAAATTTTCTCCCACAATATTCTGAAAAATTTGTAACCTGGTCAATAAATTCATTTTCAACTAATTAAAATAAAAAATCAGCCAAAACTTTATGTTTCTCTGTTTCTTTCCAAGTAGTTTTTTTTTCATGGACAAGAAGAACGTAACACCGAAAGCACAAGTTCATGACATAATCAAAATTTGGAGATAGGACAAAAAGAGAGGCTTCTTTATAGACACAATCCCACGACAAAAAGGGCAAGAGAAACAAAACAAAAAACATCTGGAGTTTTGCACTGGAAGAACTTGCAATGCCTTTGTTCGAGTAAACTACTTCCGGGAGAGAATCAATAACATGTTTTCTTTGGTAAAGGTACAACTGCAGATTCGGAAAACAACAAAGAGGAAAGAAATTTAACATCAGCGGAATGGATATATATCAAGGATTTTTAATAAGAGACTGATCTGGTGATGGTGAGAACCAACCTTGTTGCCTTGTCTCGCATAAACACATTGACAACAGATATTTACATCTGGAGAAACCTGCAGAGAGACTAAACATCAATATATGTATCAAAGACATTGGCTTCATTCATCTAACGTAGAAAATTAAGGGAGCTTTGTGGTCAAACCTTTTTAGAGTTCACAGTGGTAGAGCTCGCCTTAGAATTGACCTGAGAGACCTTTATTTCGAATGCTATCTTAAAACATGACTCCCGTTTTGTTGAAGCCTGAGATTTTTTATAAGGGACTGGTAGCATAACTTGAGGCCCCCAATTTCATTACCCTATATACCAAACAGGGAGAGGAGAAACTATGCTTAAGCACATAACAAGGAAGGATTCTTTATCTATTGAATGATAGTTTTGAATGTGTTAACGAACCTGCAACTTTTGGCAATACTGCTCCGCCAAATCTTGTGGACAATTTGCTGATGGAAAAGCTTCAGACATAAGATGCATGAGAAACGCATTACCAAATTTTTCATACATCACTTTCTGAGCTTTGATGATTTCCCCGAACAAGCCCTGCTGTGTTCACAAGACATAGAAAAGGAAGAGAAATTCAGTCTAGTTGCAGAAAAAAAATTCTCCAACTGGTAGATAAATAAAAAGAAAAAGAGAATTAAAGTTTTTTATGCTTACAGTATTCGCATCATTGAAGTCAAATGATTTATCGAGTACACTGAGCAAGCAGCAGTTTGTAGCAAAACATTTGATCATAAAATCCTGAAAACCTGGGACCTGAAAGCCAAAAAAATTGGATTATGACATTTGTGGTTTTTCCATGAAGAAAAAGAAAATGAACAAGAATGTTTAGCAAGGCAGACCTTCTCCTCAGTGTATGGCTTGGGACACCAATCTTCAATAAGTCTAATGAATATCTGCACGCATGCCTATTTAATGCAACCAAAGAAGAGGGTAATAAGAACACGAGAAAATCATCAAAACTGCGTGAAAACGCAAATAAATGATAAGTGTTACAAACCTTTCGCACAGTAATATCCTTGTGAGTACAAGCAGTGTTCAGAAGAAGCTGCATCATCGTTCGAAAATACGCCATACTTTTAGGGGTAAGGAATACAGAAGAGAGATCATGTGTGGCCATCACATGGAGAAATGTGTACAGCGTCCTTTGAAGCTCGATCAGTTCCCTCATTTCCTACAAAACATATAAACAGGTTCCCAGTTTATTGTTTGCAAGATAGCCAGAAAATCATGCATGGAGATTAATACACTGAATTATAAAATACAAACAAATACCTCAGTAACAGCTTCATGGCGTGAGGGGAAGTCATCTTTTGGAATTACACTGAAAATCCTACCAGCAACCACAGGATAGACTTCTTCCAGTATACCACGGAGAGAGTTGCTGAACTTGCAGATAAGCTGGTTGAGTAATACCAGGAAACCAACCATTTCCTTTGGCTGCTACACCATTAATAACATTATTTGAACAAAAAGTTATTCGCAGGGATGCAAGTGAACAATACGAGTTTCAACTAACTGTTATTATGAGGATTCAAAAGCAAAGGGGAATCGAACAGTCTTAAGGTGAGTTTGAAAATTTTGGTATACCTCACTATCAGCAAGTAGCTGTTCTAAAGCCGTGGGAAGATACGGCAACACAGAGGCTCCAAGGGTTTCAACCATACGGTGTATGAGTGATATGACCTGAAGAGAAGAGGAACACGCTAATTACTATGAATCAACATTTTAATAGAATAGAATACGTAATACTACAGGTCACAGTATTTCTACTTATTAGCATACAATTAAACTCATACCTTACTCCGCAAGGGCTCAACCTTTGGAAACTCAATCAAAATCCTTAAAAGCACGTCTAGTGTCTACAATTCAGAGAAGGGTACCATCGTTAAAAAGCCAGCAGATTTCGATTAGGGCAGTATATCATACGACAATATAATTGCAAGGTAGATTGCACTATGATGAATTTTCATACAAACCTTCTTAAACATGATACCAATTCGAGGACGGCTCACAGTAACAAGACGTTCACTAAAGCCCTGAGTTTCAAACAAAAGTGTAGAGATAAGTCCAGAAGAAGATAAGATTAGTAACAAATACCACATAATAGAAAATCTTATCTGGGCAAACTAATAATAAAGGAGTACAAACCTTGCTGAGAGCATTAATTGCAACAATGGAAAACTGGATATTAGCAATTTTTACAGGAAAGTCCTCACCACTTGCAACTTTTGCCTCCATAAGTTCTTTCTCAATCTGGTACAATCACATTGAAAAAATCTGAATAAATTTGACCATAAGAAAATGCCTAATGCAAATAACAGGAATAATAAGAACCAAAACCTGTTGACAGAGAGGAATAAGCAGTATAGACAGATAATCTGACTGCTTATCAGCTGGGACATCCTCTAACCCTATGATTAAGCCAATGGCCTACAGTAAACCGCATTGAGAAAGAGAGAACTTAGTTCCAACTCAGAAGTACATTGATAGAAACAGTAGCTTCAAAGGAAATATCATAACCTCAAAAATGTGACTGGCAGCTTCAGTTCCTGAAATTTCTCTGGATGCAAAGTTCATGGTCGTCAACTGGGACAACATATCTTGGAGGTTCTGATTTTACCCCAAAGATATATTGATTAGATAAAATTTTAATAAAAAAATAAACCAGAGTTAAAGAAATGGGTATAGACAGAAGAAAATCAATTCCATACCTGCAGGATATTATCAATGTATGGAACAAGCTTTGATTTTAACAATTTCACGACTCTCATGAACAAGTAATAAGCTCTACGGCTCACATGGATGTTCTGGTGATGCAACCCCCTTTCATCAAGGAAAGCACCAAGAACATTGGGAATGTACTGGGAGTTTTCTTGAATAAACTTCATGTACCTAGTTATGTTTTCCAAGTACACAAGTGCCACTAGTCTATGAGAATGACCAGGGAAGTTTGTGGTCAAGAGCATCGGGATCAATTCACTCAAACATCCAGATCCTGCTTTCATGGCCTCCTCCGTCATAGACTCTCCAAAAGAATACAAAAGCGAAAGGGCAGCTTCTACTTCTTCGATGTTTCTCTCAGAAGAAGATTCAACAGCATTTGCTAAAGCGTTTCGGATGAAATGCTGTGTAACTTCAGGAGCAACACGGCCTACTGTACGTAACAAGACAAACAGATCTTTTCTAAACTCGGACATTCTATCTTCCTCTTCCAACCCAATCTTATCCAGCGCATTAAGGCTATTACGATACATAGGATCGTAGCAAATCTGAATCCTAATCACTTCAAGAATCTGAGTAATGTGGAGGAGTTGCTTCTCCTTCAGCGCAGGGAGGCCTTTGAGAGTTGAAACGTAACCCATGAGAAACTGGACAATACTAAAAGTAGAATCCACCTCACAGTTCCGCATGACATAAAAAACTGATGGCAGAACCTCGTTCAGCAGATCCATGGAGACTGCCTTGGTCTCCTCTGAGTTCAACCGCTTATGGCATTCAAGAACCTCAACAGCATAGCCAGTAACCAAACCGGATACCTCTGACACAAGCTCTGAATCAGCATCCTCCGACACTAAACCAAAAACACGACTTATCTGAAGTGTCTTCAAAAGAGGCAGTTTCAAGTGTGGTTCCATCCTTTTACCCACGATGGCCAAGACACACCCAGCTGCTGCACCACGGACTTGATCAGCCAACCCCTCAGACAAAATCAACTCAAACAGAAGCGGAACAAACGCATCATTCGCAACCAAATTAATATCAATCCAAGACACAAACCTCCTCATACAATCCAACACAGTAGCAGAAAGATCAGGATCAGAGTTCCTATACAAGGACACAATGTCATACCAAGCCCTAGCAATCTGAGGCACACACTGCTGCCTCATCGCATCCTTAACCCTCGCAGCCACCACCACCTCCTCAGACGACCTAGGGTAATCCAAACTAATCAACTCATCATCCAACCCATTCAAAACCCGACAAAACATATCAATCACAGCCCCTCCTTTACTCAAATGCCCCATGAAATCAACAAACACATTCGACCAAACCAAAGGATACTCAAAACAAATCAAAGTAACCAAAACCTGAGCAAGCTTGTTCTTAACAAACACAGGCCCTTCCACAACCCTCACAACACTCTCACCATCACCAACACCTTCCAAACACGCCATCGAGAACACAGAACTCCTCACAAAGCTCCTCTCCTCCAAGCTCATCGACCCATACCTAACCTTCAAAACATCCTGCAAAGTCTGCAAACACCAGAACTGGACTTGGACCAGCTTACAGAACCAGAGCTTCTGAATACAAATCCTACATACATCCTGCGTCTCTTTGATTTGCTGACAGTAGCTAACGGCTTGAGACTTTAACGAAGCGTCCACAGGACCAGATTCGAAGATGATTAGTATTGCGTTCTCAATGTCATCCATTGATTCGAGAAAAGTCTGTTCCTTTATATGTAATTAATCAACAATGCGTTGAGGATTAGTGTATTCGTAGCTTTAGCTTCCGGGTTTTAAAGATCGAATCTTTGAGTGGAGAGGCTTACCAAAAAGTAAGGATCTTGGCGGTTATGAGGATCGGATTTTGAGGGAAGGAGATTGGAAGCCCTAAGGGTGAATGTAATTTATATGGAAACAAAGATTTATACGAAGGAAGTTTGTGAGACTGGAAAGAAGAAGACGATGGAGAGAGGAGAGGAGGCGTAGGGTTTTTATTTTTATTTATACTGATTTTTATTTTAGCGTGCAGAAAAAGAGTAAATAAAGGGAGATCTTGCATAAATTAAATATTTTATTGCTAATGTGTAGTTTTATATTTGGGAATTTAAATTTTTGACACCGACCCAGTTTGATAAGAAGCAGCCCATGGGCTTTAAATGATAAGAGTAGGATTAATAACATTTTTGTTGAGGTAGGTTAATTAGTAGTGAAAACATGTAAGAAGAGAAGATTACACAGGTTGGTTGATCAAACTAGCAAAAAGAGCATCAGATTCAGACCGAGATTTTTTCTTAATAGATCTTTGTCGGCTATCAGATGTCGCAAGAAACATCTATGTATGGCAATTGTTCGGCTCGTAGTCAGCATTCAGAATTTAAAATGCATTTTGAGAAATTTTTTCCCATGAGATATGTACATCGGGCACCTTAAACATATCTTTTGGTCGGACGGACACGTTAGCAAAATAAATAAGGTTAAAAGGTTATACTTTTTCTAATATAGATTAGATTCGATCAAAAAGGAAATGTTTCTCGGAAAATCTGTATAGTTTACCCAAAAAAAAACACACACACATCTTCAATACTAAAAAGAAAGTGATAATGGGCCTGTGATAAAATAATAATAAAGAAGATCTAACCGGGCCGAATTAAAACGTGGCTTGGGCCCACAGATATAAAAAATATCATAAAACTAGTATCAGTCTTCGTCTTCGTCGTCGTCACCTTCCTAAATTAACAGATTTACGTCAACGTTCTTCAGATTTGCTTCTCTCTCTCCTCTCGCTACTCAAATCGATTCCTTTTGATCAGTTTCCTCTTTTATCCACGACCCTTTCTCTAGAAAACCCTCCAAGTACGCAAAACTATTGATTTTGCAGATATTCAATAATTTTCGTCTGATCGAAACAGAGCAATGAAGTTCAGAGCGAGAACCCTAGTTTCACAAATCTCGAAACTTTGAACTCGTTGACTAGCTTGACTCTGTTTCCACACTCGAATCTGACTCTGTTTTTTTTTTTTGATAAAGACTCTGTTTCTATCAATGGAACCTCCATTACAGAGTTTGACTCTGTTTCTTCTCTGCTTCCTCTTCCTCCTCTCTGCTTCTATCTTAGTTGACTCACAATCACAAGATTCATCCCTCTCTCCTCCTCCTCCACCTCATCCTCAATCATTAACTCCTCCGCCGCCTCCGCCTCCTGCGGTAAAGGTCGGGAGTAGCAAACCGATTCACGATAAGCATCATCACCGAAGAAGAAAATGGAGACAGAGAAGGCATATACGGCGTCGTAAGCAGAAGCTGAACACAGGGAAGACGGTGGGGCTTTTCTTCGCAGGTGTAGCGGCAGCTTTGCAAGTAGTTGTTGCTGCTTTCTTGCTTCTCAAAAGAAGACAGCTTCTCCTTAACATCAACAACAACGATAACAGACACTGAATCAATTCATGGAGCTTCATCGTCTTCGGATCTCTTTGCAGTTGGAGTTAAGTCAATCTCAATTTTGGTCCTCTTTTTGTCTGTAAAGATTTAGTCTTTTGGCTTTGTCCCCTTTAGTAATCCAAATGAAAAATTAAGTTTACTACTTCAAAGGTTCTGTCTTTCAGACAGATCTGATCTGTTACTAATCTGGAACCAGTCGTGTCAATGAAAGTGGTGTTTGGTAATAATGTTAATGAAAGTTCATAGTTTTGAGGATGGATTTGGAAAATATTTAGGAACTATCATTGTTATTTTGATTCACTATTGATAGATCTAAATTAAACAAGAGACTGAAGGAGGATAGTACGCATCATGTCTCCTTTTTTTAAGGGTTAATGTCATGTAGAATAATTGCAGTGGACCGATCTAAAACTTGAGGATTTGGGACCACTCAAACCCCATGTGGAGAGCCTGGTCCTATAATCTAAGCCTATCTTTGTGTATTTCTTCTTCTAAGTTTCTCCTATGCTTAGTCTTAGTTTTAGCAAGTGATATAAACGGTGTGACCAACTTATGGATGAAATGAAAAGCTCACATTACAATGTAACCATGTTGACAGGTTTTTGAAGAATTACAAAGGAACACAAAAAACAGAGAAGACAAGAATCCATCAAAGAGAAAAGAAAAAAAAACAGGCATTGTTGTTCCTTCTTTCTTTTAGCCAGTTCCTCCAAGAACACCTTTAAGCGTCTTGATTACAGTAGGCTCAAGGAAAGTAGTAGCCGAGACGAGTTCAGTGGAAAGACTGTTGGCAAATAGCGCAAAGTCAAGAATCTGGAGACCAGGACTTGCGCTGCTGAAAGTGACAAACGCTGCAGCAGTGGTTTTACCAGCATTGATCTGGAAATGAAGCAGGCCTTGTGGGAACACCATGACTTGTCCAGCTTTTAGTGTCTGTACGTAAACATCATTCGCAGAGGAGATGAACCCTGCGGTGATGGCACCGTCAAGAACAAAGAGAACCTCAGAGGCACCAGGGTGAGTGTGCATTGGGATCACACCTTTAGGAGCTAGGTCAAGTCTAGCTGTAGAGATGCCTAGACCGTTCAAAGCTGGAAACTGAGCGACGAAGCCTGGTGTCACCGCAGCGCTGATGATGTTGGTGGTGTTACCAGGAGTGCCTAAGCCGGAGAAGACGAAGTCGGAGGCTTTGACATGAATGGGACGAATGCATTGGTAACCAGCAGGGGTCTCACCACGTTTCAGGTTGGCGACACAGAAGTCTTGAACAGAGGCATTGGATAGAGCAAAGAGGAGAGATAAGAGGAAGATAATGCGCAACATTTTTGTTTGATTAGTTGGTTTTTTAGTTTGTTTTGCTCTATTCATCCTCTCTTCCTCTTCAGTGTTTATATAGAGAGGCTCTGAAGCTGGTGGATGAACTGTGTGGTGAACATTGGAGAGACTGGAGATAAGCTTTTGGATGATACTACCATTATGGGGGTATGATAACAAAGGACCACTCTTAGATACAAACAAAATGGCTCTTTTCTTTGCCTGCCTGTTCCGCATCATTGGATCGCTGGTGATCTTAATGATGATGTAGACATTGATATTTACTGACTGGTTGTTAAAACGAGAAGCCGGTGGATTTTGAGAAGAACAGAGAGGAGACAAGAGTGAGACATCAAAGCTTAAGTACTTCTCCTGTAGATTAACTTGTGCCTCACGTAAGTAGAAAGAGAGGAAATCACGGTAACAAGACACCGTTTACTTCGGGTAATTGGAGTTATGAGTCAAGGAAGGGCAGCATTTTTGTCACAAGTTGAGGTAAGTTGACGTAGAGAATACGAGGGAGAGGATGTGTGGGTACGTATGTGTTGTCATGTAGTGTGTGGACCGGTGGCAACATGTGAAGAACCATTTGAAGACACTATTTGACAGCTAAGAGAAGCTTAAGAATGATTCTTATAAAGATCCCATTCTACTTTTGTTTCATGTAAGTAACCAAATGTGTGGAGAGTAAACCTTAACTTGCAAAAATAATATCTTCTATGTTGGAAGCATTGTAAGATACATACACAGACAATTGATGTCAAAAAAAAAAAAAAAATACACTGACAGTTATGGGCTAAAAATTTGACCAAAGCCCTAAATATATAATAAACGGGCTTCGGCCCATAAATAAAGACATAAACAAATGTTACGGGTCGGGTCAATATTATCCGCTCAAGATGTCTGGCACTGGCACTGGCACACTTTTAACCTGTCCATAATAACTCCAGAACTGAGATGCAGAGTAAGTACAGCCCAACAAAGGCAACAAGATCTTCTTTTGTTTTAAAAAGTTTGTTTAAAAGATTTTTTTTATCGACATTTACAATTATATTAATATTACATTCCTATCAAATCTCTCTCTGTCTCAGACTGTTTGTCTGAGAGACGACAAGTAGATTCCTTTTTTTTTTTCATTTGCTTTCTCAGCATCCAATAATTGTCATATAATTTTCTCTAGAAATAAGATTCTTTGGTTTTACTTCCCGAGAAAATATAATCTTGATTTCATCTCTGTTATTATCTGTACTTCCTAGAGCTTCTTCTTTTCTGCTTTTGAAGGTAAGAAAACAGAAAATTTTCTTTCCTTGTTTATAATCAAGCTTTTGAAAGTTTTTCTTGTTTTGCTTTATAGATTCATAGATATGAATATTTTGGTTTCTTGGTGTATAATTATAGACGTTACATATTGGCATATTGCTATGAATCTTATGGTCTCTAGGCTACTTATAGAACAGCTATTACTTCTTCTCTTTGTATCTATATATAGATCTCTTTCCACAAAACATTGTTTTGTACCTTGTCCGAGATTAATTGATATATAACTGAATAAAGAAAATTTTATTTATCTATGCTTTGTGTTACTACTGGAAAAGTTGGAAGGTTATGTTAGATCACACAAGGTCAACGGAAGAAGAAACTCTCTTTTGGTTGGAACTGATAGATATACTGTTAATCTCAGGAACAAGATCAATCAAGATTTGAGCTCAATGGAATCAAGAATGGAAGGAGATGCGTTTTCTGGATTTGGAGAGAGGTACCAGATGGATGGCAAAGTGTTGCAGAGTTTCCAAAAGAGCTTTGTTCAGGTTCAAGACATTTTGGATCAGAACAGGCTTCTGATCAACGAGATCAATCAAAACCATGAGTCAAAACAAGCAGATCACTTGGGAAGAAACGTTGGTTTGATAAGAGAGCTCAATAACAATATCAGAACTGTGGCAAGTCTTTATGGTGATCTCTCTCATTCTTTTGCCAAATCCATTGATGCTTCATCAGAAGGAGAATCCACTGGGGCCATCAACCAAAAGAGATTTAGATCCGGTTGATATTTACCAAAAGAAAGATCAACTCTCTCTGTGTTCTGTAGATTCAGTGCTGATCTGAGTGTGTATTTGCTTGAGGGTCTTCAACAAGACAACAAGGTCACTTCTGTTGTAATGAGTTAGTTCATGTCTTTAATTCAGAGAATAAAATAAGGAAGTTCATGTCCTTATTGATCAGACCTTTGGGACTATAATGATATGTAGAGCTCTTGCTTTTCTTTGGTTTTAGATTGACTTGTATACCTTTCTGTTGTTATTGTTGTTGTTGTTGTTGTTGTTACAGTAACTAAGAATATAGAGATGTTCATATAAAGTATGAAACTAAATCTGATCTAACAAAAGAAAGCTGTAAAAGAGAATAAAGATGATGATCACTGTTGCATTTGTGCTTGCATGATCCTTAAAGGTCAAAAAGACAATAGAGACTTGTAGTTTTAACTTTAGTTAGGTACATTATTGCACTTTTGTTTATTTTATTTATTTAGCTTTTGGACAAGAGAATCTAGCCAACCTTTTGGTTCCACTTCATGTATTGCACCCTTTTTTGTAATATTCAAATTACTTGGCTCACAACATCTCATTTCAAATTAACAACATCCTATAGAACTACAGAAGTGTAGACGGTAGGGTCCTCATACTTTGGTAAGAAAAAGAAATGTAATGAGATACACCATATTTTTTTTCAAAAAAAAAAAGAGATGCATCAAATATGTAGGAAGACTGATGTTTATTAAGATATAGACAATGATGATCTCTAATGTTCTGTTCATCTCAACTTCAAAGTTTTTTACTTGTTTTGACTCTGTCTCTGCATCAGTTTCATCAACTCTCCTTCCCAGTCAGAAACAGCTTCTTCTCCATTTGAAACCTGACAGAACCAAAAGCCTATTCAGTAACAATGCTTCTTTATATTGACAGCAAAAAAAAATGTTATCTACCTCAAATATCAATCCTGTTGGTGGGATCACACTTAGAGCTTCAATACATATACGTGCAGCGTCTTCCTTACTTAAGCTTCCTTTTGCTGCAGCACCCTGTGTCACTCACAAAAACGTTGCTGAAACCAAGCGTGGAAGTTCAACACATGATTCAACTTATCAGTTACAAGATTATGGTTTTACCATGCTGAAGTTGAACCCTAGGTTCCCTCCAGGACTGTTCTCTAGCTTTCCTGTTCTGATGATTGTATAAGGAACATTAGAAGATATAACTGCCTTTTCATCTCCCTCAGCTAGTTTTTTAACTTTGCTATTCATCATAGCTTCAATTCCACCGCTGCTTTCATAAACAGACAACTGCAGCTTCATTAAACCATAATCTTGCATATACTAAAAACAAGTTGGAACCAAATTTAAATCCATGCAGATGCATCCCTTACCTGGGACAAGAGAACTACATGTTTTACACCTTTTAAACTTTTGACATTTGATAAGAAACCCTCCTGCCAAATGAAGAATGACATGCTTAATGTTTAATATCAATTCAGAACTGGATTCAAGGAATGATTGGTTAAAACATACAGTTGGGGATATGAGTGCACCAACACCTCTAAAAGCTTTCCTTAAGAAACGCTCATCACTTGCATCTCCAGACGTCAACTTCACATTTTTAAAAATTTTAAGAATGTTTTATCAAACGAGAAACAAATATACACAGTTCAGGAGTGTGTGTGTAAGAACCAACCTCAACATAAGCTCCAAAAGCTTCCATAGCTTTTCTCTTGTCCTTCACAAGTGCTTTAACACGAGTCCCTTTCACAATCAGTTGCAGTATAATCATCTACATGAGCTAAAAAGTAACACTTATCAGTTTCATTTCTTTACTTTCATATCAAATGTTTGATGACTTTGTTAAAGACTGTAAAACATACACACACACCTGACCAACATCACTGTCTCCGTCCGTTATAAAAACAGTTTCTTTGCTTCCATCGTCTTCTTCTTGTTGTTCCTCTGCTTCATCGTCTTCTCCACTTGAGGTTCCATCCTTTGGCAAAAGCTCAGGCGCTCCATACCATTTCCTAAGCTTAGGACCGCCTTAAAACAACAGACAGAACAAACTGTTACAAAGTCATGCTTCTATGAAAAAATAAACAAACAAAAAAAGCTAAAAAGTACCTTCGATATAATCAAGAATCTGATCCACAAAGCTGATTTTCTTCTTAGCCAAGCAACGAACAAGAGAGCGTTTTCCAGATGTCACCACAAGTTGACATTTAGCTTCTGAGACTTGATTCGAATAAGAGAATAGTACTCCTTGAGTGAGGAGAGATGAAGGTAGAGAAGAACCTGCCATGTCTGCAGTTTCTAAAGATATGCGGTTTCGTCCTCACGTTAGTCTACTGTAATCTCATCAACTGTTTTCAATGTAAACCCTCTAGAAGAGAAAGAGGTTTTTGCTAAGATTATTATCACTTTCTCTCTTTGCCAGGTGTTCGAAGTCCATACCTTTCATTTTTGCAAACCTTATCACAAACGTCATCTTGGTGTTATGTGGTTTTTCTAAAGTTTGTGACCCTCTGTGCTAGCTTACAGAGTAAATGATATTATGATGTAGCTTGTTCACACTTGATAGATGTTTGCACTAGTAAACCATTTACATTTTGATGTAAGCTACTTCTTTATGTGAAAAAGATTTTTTAATGTGGTTTTTTTATGTTGCTTAGTCTTTAGCATTGATCCATCTCTACTCTATTCCTCACACCAGATCTTATGGTATAGGAGGATAGAGAGACAGTGCTTACATTTGAAAGTAGAGTTTAATAGTCTCTCTGAACTCTCTATTGTCCAAGTTCTTGGTAGCTTTCAGTGAGACTTCTTTTCCCCAAATATAGCAAATTCCATTCAACTGCACGTGTAGGTTTCAGAGTAAGATCCACTTTATTAGGTTTAGTGCCTAATAGCAGCTTAGGTTCAACTAAATCACAGTGATGGTGACTCTTCCTCATCCAAACACATTCAATGCTAAGTATATGGAGTAAGTAAGTCTCTTTTGACCTAGTAATTCTAGACATCTTGATGATCTGAAAAACACTTAAATCTTGAAGCCATGTTTTTGTTTAGTCTTTTAAAGTTTCCATTGTTGCAGGACAAACTGGTCCACACTAACATTCAAATTATATTCATAGATGCAGCAGCAAAAAGGCCACTGTTAGCAAGTGACACATGTCCCCAATGAATTCTGAAGGATCAAAGAACATGCTTTAACAACAAATGTTTGTACACAGTAACAATAATTAAATCTAGACTAACAGAAATACTCACCTACTCCATGAAAACCTCATCTCGTTTTCTAAAACTCCTAGACGGCACGTGATCCTAATCTAAATATATCAGGCGACATGGTGTTCTTGTACACGTGAACCAAAACGGACGGTAGTTAATTCTGTTTTGGCGTTATCCAGCTACTTACTGACGTGGCAAAATCGGACAAAACTTCGTGAAGTCATTAAACTCAGAAGCGTATGTATATACGGATTCCAAATCACAAAAGGCAAAGAGTTAATTCGAGTTAATAAAAAAGCTTTCGAGTCCAGACTTTGCTAACTAGAAAAGCCGAAAGCAAAAAGAGCCAACCAAAGATTTTCCTTCCAGTTTCTTTTTTACTTTAATAATCCACAAGAAGCTTCTCCTTTGAAACCAATCTTCGACAAATCTAAGTTTAGGGATGAATTCGAGTAAGGTTTAATCGTTTTCCTTCAAATTCTGCAGACTAACTCAATTTTTCCTGGTGGTAAGCATTGGAATAAGATTGAATTTATGTGTTTCTTGATAAAGATAGATACTTTATATTCAAAGGCCTTTATCTTTGTTCAAAGATAAATACTTTCTCTTTTAAAGTTAACAAAAGAGATTCCTTTTGTACTACTGTTTTGGTTTTTGGTCATTGGTGTGAAGTTTGTAAAGCTGTGATGCAAATTTACATATAAGTGATATGTTTTAAACTATACATTATGTGTAAATCTCTCTGTAGTATTCTTTGTGGATTATTTTAATCAGTTTATCTGTTTTGGGATTTCAGGCTGTGTGTTTTGAGTTTGATTTTTATCTATGGGAACTGTGGTTGGAACTGTTGAGGACTGCAGAGAGATGTTTGATGTCAGTGTTCAGACAATGATCACATCTTTTCCCTCAACAAATCAGATTGGGAATCCTGTTGCTTATAAGCTTGTCAGGGTATGGTTCACAAATCTGTTAGAAGAGGAAAGAAAACAAATTCTTTTAGGGTTTTTTTGCTCTTGTAATTGTAAAATCTATGACTATAGGTATCTTTTCACAATCTTATTTTGTGGAATGGTTAGGTTGCAGGAGATGGGAGACTAGTGCCTGCAACAGATGAAGAAATTTTGGAGGTGAATGAGACCGATATGCATTCTGTATCAGATGCTTGTAAGAGTCTAGGCTATCTTCCAGCCGAAGGTTCACCTTCTTTGTTCTCCCAACTAGAAGAAACCTCTGAAGGTTTGTTCTCATCATTCTTCACATGTTGAGAGTTTGTTTGCTTCTATTAATGCTCCTTTCTTGAGTAATTTTTTGTTTCTTTGGTAGAAAATGCATTTGTATATCTGAATATGCTTAAGTCCTTAGTGATATAAGCCCAAATATACACAAGTCTCTCTGACTTTTCCGTCCAAATTAAATTATTGCTTTCTTACATCTTTATTTTTTTGGCTTACTTACATCTTGGCATTGACTTTTTTTATTCGACTCAGTTATCAATTTAGGTTTATTGAGGTCTGACAATGTGGAACCATCTACAGACCAGGTGAATTCTCAACCTGAGGTTAGTTCCATTTCACAAATATTGAAAAAAAAATATTACTTTTCTTACATTTTATCTTTCCTACAACTGTTATTTATGATTCTAAATGTTTTAATGTTGTGAAATTTCGCAAGAACTCTATTAGACACTAGATGACCTTACTCCTTCGATTTTTGCTCCAACTTTTGCAGTATAGCGAGGATGAGAGGCTTGTCATGGTACATGCATCTCACATGCTTTCTACTCCTCCAGATTCCAACATCCAGTGTTGTAATGAAAACAACATGTTTGACGAGGATCAAGCCCACCATGAGCCCCTTCCTTTTTCATCAGATGTTCAGAATGGATGCGATGTGAATCAATCTAATACTGTTGAACCATCTAGTCCAAAAGAAAGTGCATTTCCTGCTGCTGCTCAAAAACCTGATTTTTCTTTAGTTAGAGGTGAGATATGCTTGGATAATCTGCCTATTAAAGCACTGCAAGAAACATTCAGGGCGACGTTTGGCCGTGAGACGACTGTTAAGGACAAGACGTGGCTGAAAAGGAGGATTACAATGGGACTTACTAAGTCCCTTGATGTGCCAACGACTAACCTGACAATTAAAGATAACAAGCTAGTTGGAAATCAAGACAAGTCCAGTGATGTGGCTGATGTCGTTAGCAAGGGTGATGATGTAACAGCTACTAACCTGAAAGATGCACCATCTAGTAGTGCTGAAGATTTTTCATGTGAAGAGAGGGCGGCAAAAAGAGTTAGGAAACCTACACGAAGATACATTGAAGAACTTTCAGAAACAGATGAAAAACAGATAAATGACAAGTCAGTGTTTCCTTCAAGAGACCAGAGGCTATCTGAAAAATCTGAGGTTAGGTCTATGAGCGTCTCCTCAGGGAAGAGAGTTACCGTCACCAGGGTGGTGCCCCTTGGTGGATCTGAGGTTGAGGTTCCTTATGTTTCTCATGTCCGGAGAAGCCGTCCAAGAGAGAACATTATGGCTCTTATGGTATGTCTCTTGGTTACTCATTTCTTCTCAATATAGTAATTAATCTGGTGACTTCTCAATGTTGAACATGTGAATAAAACAGTTAAAATGACTTCTGCGTCCGTTATTTGTCTTTTTCTTTTTTTGGTTGAAATGTGATTAAGGATAATGCATCACTTTGTGTAGGATTGTCATACCAGTTGCTTGGAAGCAAAAGCTACTGCAGGAGAGAGTAACCTGTTGAACAGTGAGGTTGTGAGCCCAGGTTCAGTGCTCAAGTCAGCTTCTGGACCAATCCAGAAAGAAGGAAGTCACAATAACAGCGAGGAGAATATTCTCACTGGGGTTGATGAAGACATGGAGACAGATCACGTAGACTCATCTGGAAACAGCTCGGATGACTACAATAACACTGGTGCGCCAATGATGCAAGGTGTTGGACTTAGAAGGAAGCATCATAGAGCTTGGACTCTCTCTGAGGTTACAAAATTAGTAGAAGGTGTATCCAAGTATGGAGCTGGGAAGTGGTCCGAGATCAAGAAGCTTTCCTTCTCATCTTATCCACACCGTACCTCTGTAGATCTCAAGGTAGGTGATTACAAGTTTTTTTAACCCTCTTGACATGGTCCTATCTATCTATTCAGACTTTGTTTACAATCCATCTTGTTGTTTTTTAGGACAAATGGCGAAATCTCCTTAGAGCAAGCTTTGCTCAGAGTCCCTCAAACAGCATGGTACCTCTCTTTCTCTATGTTTCTTTTGCTTGTAACTTCATATTATCCTTTGCCAACAAGACCTAGATATGCTTAGTTGTGAATATGTGGGTGCTTTGGTTACAGGGAAGTCTCAAGAAACATGGGTCCATGCACATTCCTGTGGAGATTATATTGCAGGTGAGGGAGCTCGCGGAGAAGCAATCATTGGTCCCACCGAGTCAGCGTTAAGACAAGGAAACAAGATCCAACTTCTTCATGTAGCTGAGTTTTGTAAAATAGCCAACTAAGTAAAGAGAGACAAGAAGTGTGAGATAAGCTACAGTTTCTGTAGGGTTATGTAACTTTATAAAGAAGCTTTGTACGTTAGTTATTATTATATACGAGAACACTATTAAGAAGTGTCCATCCATGGATGAAAGTCATGATTTCATGACAAAACCTGTGTTTGATTTGGACTTGAACTGGGCCTTCTATAATTGGATCCCAAACTCTTCTATCTATTGTCTCTTGACCCGGACTTACGTGTATGAGTGCATCTTTCTTGCTGTCTCTAGAACCATCCTCTGGTCTCCATCACTCATCATCTTGTTATGCAAAAGCTTCTATATTTTTGGTGCACAAAAAAAAGCGTATGTGATCTAAGTTTTGAACTCGTGTGATCCGAAAGACGTGTTGTTGTTATTTGTTTAGACAGACGCTATAAAGGTGAGCTTTCGTTTGTTGATTATGTTACTCGTTCAAGATTTGGTTAAAAGCTTGTTCTTCAGATGATGCATCTTGCATTTAATAAATGGTTAAATTGGTTATTTTTATGATTACCTCTGAACTCTGTCTGATCATTGTTAGATCATTACTTATCTCCAGTCATTGTGGCAGAAATTTCTGAGAGAAAATGGGAATCATCGAAAGGATTAAAGAAATTGAAGCCGAGATGGCTCGGACACAGAAGAACAAAGCTACAGGTTTCTCTTTACGCTTCAGAACTTGATGATATATGCATGAGAATCATCATTGATTTTCATGTATTTGCTGAGAACATGAATGAAACTATTGTTACCACATCTGATGGACAGAGTATCATCTTGGTCAGCTCAAGGCAAAGATTGCAAAGCTCAGAACACAACTATTAGAGCCTCCAAAAGTAAAATTCAACTTCTTATTTATTATAGCTGTATACAAACTTGTGCTCCTTGTAGATGAATCATTTCATCATTTCTAATTTTTTGTAATTGTCTCCCCAATCCAACTAAAAGGGTTCAAGTGGAGGTGGAGATGGTTTTGAAGTTACAAAGTATGGTCATGGACGTGTTGCACTTATAGGCTTTCCAAGGTCCATCTTTAATCTCTCTACTCACATGTATATATGTATTTTTTTCAGTTTTGGAATCCTCACTTTGTGACTGTAATTCGGCAGTGTTGGAAAGTCCACGCTTTTGACGATGTTAACTGGCACACATTCTGAAGCAGCCTCATATGAATTCACAACGCTTACATGCATCCCTGGAGTCATTCGCTACAATGACACCAAGATTCAGCTGCTTGATCTTCCTGGGATTATTGAAGGTGCTTCAGAAGGAAAAGGACGAGGGAGGCAGGTTTATATCCATTTCATTCTTGTTTATATTAATTCTTCTTGAACCAAAAGTGAATTGAAACTGTTTGTTTCTCAGGTTATTGCTGTTGCAAAGTCTTCTGACCTTGTGTTAATGGTTCTTGATGCCTCCAAAGTAAGAGTCTCAGTTTTTGCTGTCTATCTCAAATAGTTTTGGCTATCTATTAATCTCTACTTGTTCTTCATTAGAGTGAAGGTCACAGGCAGATTCTGACTAAGGAACTTGAAGCAGTGGGTTTGCGTTTAAACAAAAGACCTCCACAGGTAAAGCTCATCTTCATGTCTCACTTTCTATATTTAGAATTATAAACTCTTGAGGGAAACTGGGAAAACCACCTTGATGTAAAACTATTTTTGTGGCTGTTTTAACAGATATACTTTAAGAAGAAGAAGACTGGTGGAATCTCTTTCAACACTACAGCACCGTTGACTCGCATTGATGAGAAGCTCTGTTATCAAATTCTGCATGAATACAAGATTCACAACGCTGAGGTACCTAGCCTTAGCTCAATTTTTTTTCTTTCTGAAATAACTATAAGAGCTTCAAGTGGTATTATTTTTGTTAGTTTGTTGAGAGATGCTGCAGTGGATGAACCTTGAGGATGTACCGTGCAGGTTCTATTCCGTGAGGATGCTACGGTAGATGACTTTATAGATGTCATTGAAGGAAACCGCAAATACATAAAGTGTGTGTATGTCTACAACAAGATTGATGTTGTTGGAATCGATGACGTTGATAGACTAGCAAGACAGCCAAATTCCATTGTTATTAGCTGCAATCTAAAGGCAAGTTCTATTATTCATGTTTCTCTAGATCTGCATGAATGAGAATAGCTAAAGATCCAATCCAGCTTAGTAGTCGTAAATGATGTGATTCCTGTTTAGTCTGAAACAGTTGTGAATGTATGTTTGAAACATTAGTCTAATAATGAAAGCTTGTGTTTTCTTGAAACAGCTAAACTTAGATAGACTACTTGCAAGAATGTGGGATGAAATGGGACTTGTGAGAGTTTACACAAAGCCTCAGGGCCAGCAACCAGATTTTGATGAGCCCTTTGTCCTCTCAGCTGTAAGTATAATATCCTCAACACTTTTCTTCTACTTATTTTGTATAGACAAGAATTTGGAGAGATGAGTTTTCTACTGTCATTCCACAGGACAGGGGTGGATGTACAGTAGAAGATTTTTGTAACCACGTCCACAAGACTCTAGTGAAGGATATGAAGTATGCACTGGTTTGGGGCACAAGCGCTAGGCACTACCCTCAACACTGTGGTCTTTCTCATCGTCTTGAGGATGAAGATGTTGTTCAGATTGTCAAGAAAAAGGTATGGAGGCACAAAGCATTTTTAACTGATATCTCTAACAACAAATGTTGATGATACTGGTGGAAATTTTCAGGAGAGAGAGGAAGGGGGAAGGGGGCGGTTCAAGACACACTCAAACGCACCTGCAAGAATTGCTGACAGAGAGAAGAAAGCTCCACTTAAGCAGTAAGACAGTTGATCATCCCACCAAATGATCTCATGTAAGACTTCATCATATGTATTGTATTTTCTGTATTTGAACAATTTGCAGCTTAATATTAAGAGTTTGAACCGTTTGCATCTTAAAACAAGTTGAAAGTATTAGTTGTCAGCTACCATTTCTTTTGGTCTATGGTTTCATTTTGACAAGAGATGTGATGATATTCTTTCAGAAACGTAAGAAGCAAATGATAAATGGTACAAGTGGCCAAACAACATTAACAAACTCCTTGACAATCATATCCAAAAGATACACAGAAGTTGCCTCTTTATCTATAACCCCTGTCTATGTGTTTCGTGGGACCAACAAGCTGTTGAAATGCCTGAAGAACTTAGCCTCTCTGACTCTTTGCCCACATATGCCTCCCTGTTACTTGAGCAGGTGGATACAGATCCGAACCAGTACTACGCTTTACATCCACATCTCCGTTGTAAGACGAAGACTGTTTCTTCTCAAACGGTGTTTTGGAACAAGACGATGAAGAACCTGATCGTCTCTGCTTAGCTTTGATAGATTGTGTCAGGCTCATGTAGCTTGGCTTTCTGTAATACCCTCCTTCCTCAAGGAAACTTCCTGAGAAGGGAACTGGGGACTGAGATGTTGACGAAGTCTCAGAACTAGTAGCTGAGGATGACATTGGTGGAGGTCTAGCCAAAACTCTGGTTGTGAGACTGTTCTTCCTGACCTGAACCGTGTCATGTTCAGACACGCTGCTCTCACTTTTCCTTGCGGTGTCTGATGAGTTTGTTGGACCTTCCATCAACCTTCCTTCCCATGGCCTGTCTGCAACCCATCTGTCAAGCCAGTTCCAACCTGGACTGCTCTTGCATGACCCGTTGTTCTTTTTAACGCTCCCTTGTTTGTTCACCTTAGCGTTTGGACTTGGACACGTCCTTGGCTGTCAAGATTTTTGAGAAACTTAGTCAAAACATGTCTCTGAAAGAGAGTTTCAGAGAGTTTATTATATGTTCTCAAGCCATTACCTGGTGTGTGAGTGCATATACCATAGCTCTCTCCCTCTTGATAGCTCCTTCTTGCCTCATTTGTAGCTTTGTTCTCACTTCATTTACACTTCCAGGACTATCACACCAACCCTTCTACTTAACACATCATTCCAAAAGTTAGTATCTCCTACAAGCAAGCCACATTTTATCTCAAGCCACATTTTATCTCAAGCCTTACCTCAGCTTGCTTAGCAGGATCATCCTTTTGCTCAGATGGCTTCTGCAACTCCTGTCCATCTGAAGGAGTCCTGTTACAATGAGCTCGTACACGAGCTTGGACTCTAACAAGTGCTTGCATACACCTTAATGTCACATCTGCTTGTTTCCTTACTTGCCTACCACGGAATATCGCCTGAATCCTCACCACCGCCTTCAAAGCTCTCAACGCCTGTCTTGCCTATACAAACATAAACCACAAACGCTTCAGACAAGAACAACCGAAACTGAATCCACATTAGTTGTTGATGGTTTGATAAAAGTAAACAACCGCTAAGACACAACTCATTGTAACTACCAAAACTCTAAATCATATTGTTAAAAACCAGACAGATTTCTATATCATAATGTCCATGTAAGAGTGAGTGTACCAGAAAAGCTCGAAAAGAAGCTTGGATCCTTGTTGCAGCCCATTCACGTTTAACAAGGAAGAAATCTTTAGGTGGAGCTCTGATAACAGCAGCAACAGCAGCAGTGAAAGAATCATCTGCAGAGAAAGACGGTGGATCTGAGCCAAGAGAAGGAGTTCCATAGCTACCAGCACGGCTCTTGAAACCTTTTGAGGAAGAGATGAAACTCTCTGAAGAAGTCCTCCACAGTTTCCACTTCTTCTTACTGTTCTTATCACCTAACTGAAAAAGATCAATCCTTTATAAGACATCAACGAATCTACAGAGAGAAACAGAGAGAAAGAGAGTGACTTTGGAGATTTTACCTGATGATCATCAGAGATGGGTTTCTTGTTAGAGATGAGAGATTTAATCCAGTTTCCAGAGCCACCCATTTGTCAAGTTGGAGACTTTCGGAATCAGATACTGTGGAGAAAGGTTTAGATTCGAGAATATAAGTGTGAAAGATTCTTGGGGAAGAGAGGGAGAAGAAGATGAAGAAAGAGAGAGAAAGTTTTTGGTTGGCCTGTGAATGATGTTTGACAAAAAGGTGTTTGTAATTGTTAAAAGAAGAGAGAAGAGAAGAATTTTGAAATTTGAAATTTTGGGGGAAGGAAGAGAAAAGTATTTGTTTAATTAAAGTAACGGTAACATTGACATTTCGCTTTCGTCTCGTAATAAATAAAAGATCGTATCATAAATGTCTTTTTACTTTGGAAAAATAAACTATTTATATCTCATGTCCCGCGTGATGATAATGTTTACTAAATATGCTTTAGGTACATGTATATGTGGATAGTTATAAAAGGACCACCTTACTGTTTGTTTCTTAGGTTTTTCACCTGTAGCTCTTGTAAGCAATTTAAAACGTCCAATTAGTAAATTTTAGTCTTAGATTTCTACTGTAAATTGTTTGGGATCAATCTTATTGGTATTGATTCTTGTATTCTCATTATGTGATAGGTATTATTATCTCACAATGGAAGATTGGAAAATAAAACATTATTTAAGTAGAAACATATGATATAACAACAGTTTAGCAAAAAAATACATTTACAACATGGTGATTATAGAAATGAAGAAAACAAAAGTTGGTATTGTGGTTAGATCATGGACCTATAGTCACTATAAAATTAAAGAAAACCAAATAATACAGATCCAACCACAATGACAATTTTCAACTTAATATTATAATTTCTTTGTATTTTAGTTTTAAACACTTATAAATCCAAATCTTTATACAAATTCTATTATTGACTAACATTGATTCTAAAACCTGTTATCGATTCTTGGTACTAAAATCGGTTTTAAAACTAAGAATCCATAGCAACTTATTTGATTTAGAATCATAACACGTTCTAAATACAAAAACCAGTAACATCATCTTAATGTGAATTTATATGTTCCCAATAATCTCCACGTGTTTATTTCATCAAGAAACACAAAGAACAATCATAGCTGTAGCAGTGAGTGTTCTTCTATTACAGAAAATCACTTTCCAGCAGCCATTGTGCATGTTGTGCTTTGTGGATATCAGGTTTACAAACGTTCAGAAAACCTCTAAACGAGGCCAAGGATTCTCTTAATCCTCCTCTCTTCTTCACAACTCATAGGAGTGTTCTTTTATTAGACTAGCACCATCTATGTTTTTCTATTTCAGAGAATTCTCGATATCAATCACAAACCGGTACTTGATGTCCTTCTTCACCACCCTTTCAATAGCTTCATTAACCTTCTGAATAGGAATCACCTCTATGTTAGGATAAATCTTATGAGCTGCACAGAAATCTATCATCTCCTGAGTCACCTTAGTACCTCCACTTACACTTCCCGCAAGCACTCTCATACCTATACCAATGATCCTTATGGTTAAACCATCTTATTAAGGGTAAGCATGCAACGGAATTACAAAGAGCTTTGGAGATGCGTACCAAGGTTGAGAGTAGCAGGCTGGATTTTAATCTCACTTGGGAAACCAACCAGGACATAAGTTCCAGCAATCTTCAAAAGCGACATGTAAGGATCAAACGGATGATCACCAGATGCTGTGTCAACGATAAAGTCTAGAGACTTCCCTAGTGCCTGCACAGTAAACATCACGTACCTCCCAAGTTAAGTTTTGGTTCCATCCCTAAGAAAAGACATCTCTCTACGTACCTTCATTTGGTCATGATCAGAGGAGATAACAAAGTTATTAGCTCCCAGCAGATTCAAAGCCTCCTCTTTCTTGGAAATGCTAGTGCTGAAAACAGTCACATGAAGTCCAAAAGCCTTACCAAACTTAACCGCCATGTGACCAAGCCCACCAAGACCAATAACCCCAAGAGATTTACCAGCCTGATTCATATTGTGACGCATCATAGGCGCATAAACAGTCACTCCAGCACATAGTAACGGTGCAGCTGATTCCAAAGGATAGTCCACAGGTATCTTATAACAGTACCTATTGTATTAACTCATCAGCCACTCACTCACAAACTTTCTTAAGAGTCAAAAGAGAGATGAGTATAAACCTCTCGTGAACAACAATGTGGCTAGAGTAACCTCCTTTAGTAACAGAGCCATCATAATCAACGCCATTGAAAGTGAAAACTTGCCCTTTCACACAACTAACCTCTTGTCCTTCGTCACAGTAATCACACTCCCTGCAGGAGTTAACATACGTTCCAACACCAACATGGTCTCCAGCTTTGAACCGAGTGACATTAGATCCTACCTTACTCACTATTCCAGCAATCTCATGCCTAAAAACAGAGGAATATAAAATTTAAAAAAAAAAACAGACTAGGGGAAGGTCAAAGTTGGAAGCTTTGAGAGATGGGTATTGTTGAAAAAAACATACCCAGGAACCAAAGGGTACTTAGAGTCACCATGTTTGTTTTTAGTCCAGATGACATCAGCGTAACAGACACCACAGTGTGTGATTTTTAGTGACACATCATCACTTGTAACAGACCTGGTAATGAATATGATGTATCAAAACATTTGCCTGAGAGGGAGGATCGTTGAATGGTTATTATGAAAGGTACCTGCGAGTGAATGTGTGAGGAGAGAGGAAACCAGATGGATCTCTTGCAGCCCAGCTCAAACACTCGTCTTCTCCTGAAGAACTCATCGGCTGTTCCATTACCTAATCAATTTTTGTCGTCCCCGAACAAAACGAAATGAAATTTGGTGTTTTTTATACAAAGAAAAGAGGAATCTCACGGCTGGCGAATGGCGTGGCGTATTCGTCTTCTTCGCTGGCTTGCAAAAAGTATCAGATCTTCTGTAGTTTTTATTGGTTCGTGAAGCCCGTTGTTTTTACAAAGAGAAAGCCCATTGGGCCCAATAAGGCCCATTGTATACGAGTGTTCTCTCTTTGTAAGTTTTCTAACTTGTACTAATTGGTTGTCATAATGCGGATTGCAATTTGGCAGTGTAAGTAGTGAACATGTCAAAACTCAAGAGTGTCCTTGATTTTTAGTGTTGAACCGAGCTTTTTAATCCACTGGTTCGAATCCGGTTAGGGTCAGGTATTGTCGCCTAATGTGTTAGAACGGGTCAAAGAAAAATATAGAGGCAATGGATTCATCGTGAAAAGTTGAGGAGTTACAATCACAAAAAGACTCATGGATTAAGTGACGACATTGCGATCAGAATACAACAGTTGATGATGTGAAAGGATCCGGTCTCCTTTGAACACGTCAAAGAAGAGATCAAAGTCATCGGGATGATTGGTTGGGATTTAACTAGTGACTTTAGTTTTATTTTCTATCTACAACCATATAAATCACCAATCATGCTTTAAGTAGTTTTTAAAGCTAAAGTCAAAAATTTTAAAAAATGGTTGTAGGAGCCTCATTTTCTAAAGCAAAAAAAAAATGCTGTATGGTTGCTGTAGGAATATCTTTTTTTTTTCATTTTTTCTCATTTAATTTCTACAGCTACATTAGATACAGCTACATTCAAAATTTCTACAGACTAATTTCTACAGTAAAATTTCTACAGTTACAGTCCAACCAATCGCCCCTATCGTTAATGCTATTACTCCAAAGCATTCTCCCAATAAGTTAAGTTTCAAAGTATATATTAGTTGTATGCAAATGCATAAGTGACAGTGATCCACACAACAAACTCAATTTCATTACATATCTGAATGTTGGACCTTCATGAGTTCATGTGTGGATTCCTTGTGAATATCAGCAAGAGATAAAAAAGAACATTGTCCTAGTTTATTAAGGTGGAGTCTGGTTTGTAAATCAGAAGCTTATATGAAAAGAGAACTTTCACCCTATATAGCCTTGTCAAAGTCAATACTCTAATAAAAATCCTTGGTTGTTTATATAACGTTGTTTCTGGATTAATGTATAGTGAGAGAAAAGGAAAGATTATCAGTGGCGGATCCAAAAAATAATATTTGTGGGAGCAAATTAATTATTTATTTAATATTTAATATTTATTACAAAAATATTTGTATATTTTCTTTAGAAAAATATTAAAAGTTAAACTAACACCACTAAAATATTTTTTTGAAAAGAAATATAAAATGATTCACTACCAAAAATAAATGAAATAGAAAATCATAGAATAAGTTGTTAAGAAAACAAAAATATTGTAAACAAACAAAATAAACAAAAAAATAAAGTAAATTGAATGAAAAAGAATTATAAACAAAAAGAATAGAGGAAAGACAAGGTAAGAAAAAAAAAATTGATACGACAAGTAGACGGAAAAATCAGAAAAGGAAACTTATAATAAAAATAAAAAAAATAGTTAATGGTGTCAAATGGATCTTCAAACAGCAGACCAATGGGGGCAACATTAAGGTTTTAACGGCTGAGCTACAGAATCTTTAACAATTACCATGTACATAAAATAAATTATACATTTTAGTGGGGGCAACTACTCCCTCCCTGCATAACGTAGATTCGCCCATGAAGATTATTAGTAGATGGAAACTGGAAGTGTAAAGAGAGACTTAAGGAATAAGGGATTGAAGAAATAAGTACACCAAACGAAACAACGCTTTTGTTTTTATGAGAGTTGTCTTTTACTTTTATGAATGCGATGTGGCCTAACTTTTTCTCCATCATTTTGGAAAATTTATATACTCCAACAAGTAAATTACAAATGTTACAACTACGATTTTTCTGGAATTTTCTTTCTTCCTTAGATATTTTGATATTTTTATAGAACCCTTAACAGAATAGCTTCGAACATTTTAGCTTCACGATAATTATCTATACTAGAAGAAATTCAGATTAATGGAAGTGAAGTATATATTTGTCTACAATTCTACATGACATTTGAAATATACAATCGCCTACTTGATATTTTTAATATTCCAAATGAACCACACTGTAAGAACATTTTTACTGGTAATAGCTGAACAAATATATCAATGAAAAATTCATAGAACAAATAACAGTAATAAAAATAAGAGAAATAATAAAGTATTTTTCATATGAGAATATTTAAGAAATTCATTTTAGATTTTTCCTGAGAATTTTTTTTGAATTAATAATATAACTAATTAAAAAGAGAGTAGAATTCCCTTTTGAAAAGAAAAAAAGTATTCCCCAATAGAAATACTCTAACATTTATAACTCTTTTTTTATTTTAGAACGTGTCAGAATATTATTCTGTTAAATCTTGATTAGTCACATAAATACGACGGGACCAGATAATTATATGATTACTAGATCTAATATGTCCTACTGGGACATGAATATTGTACGTAATAGCATACGACACTTGTGTGTTCGACGTTCGTCCGGTGGACATTAAAAATAAACCTTTCTTAATCAGAAAAAGTCGGGATTTCGAGTTTATAATATAAAACCCCATCATTCAATGATATAAATTGTATTACTATATAAAATAAATCTTCGAAAGTTCATTACTACTATTTTGTCGCATTAAAACCTAACATGCCCATGTGGATTTTGTTTCAAAAATTCAAAAACGTAACACTTAAATGTATAATAAATTACAAAATTTGGACCTTAATACAATATACGCCGAATTGCATTTAATAAATTTGAAAGAAATTGGCGCATTGATAGGTAGAGAGTATATTGCTTTCTCTGTGCCGTGTTGGGCTACACGTTAAACAGACCACCACGTTGGTTCGTCTTTAAATGGACCGGTTAATTCCGTTGTGGGACTCCTCTTTGTGGGTCCTACTCCTTCTTCCCTCCACCACGTTTCGATTTCTGACCGTCAGATTTAAAATGACCACAGACGATACGGGTTGAGAAGTCAATCAAACGAACGGATACGATGAGCTGTTTGTTGGGTGAACTAATAAATTTTGAGGTCGATCGACCACGACATCACAACGGCTAGTCCAAGTCATGTATCATTTTTCTACAAATTTAGAGTAAGTTTTGGTTACAGTCGAATAATCAGCACATGATTTGATTTTTAACGATTCTCGTTTTGAATTTTAAATATTAGGAGAATATATACTAAAAAAGACAATTATGAAAAGGAAATATTTGTAAAATGGGACCCAATAAAAATAAAAATAAAAATACGGAAATAGGGATCATGGGAGTGAGTGTAAAAGGTAGTCAATATCGTGTACAGAGGAAAAAAGAAAGTACTGTTAACTCGGTAAAGGTCTAAAGAATCGTGGACGTGGACTGGTACCATGTGACCATCCTTGGAACCAAAGTAAACTTGAAAGCTCTTCTGAACAAGAGAAGCCTAAGTTCCACATTGATATTATTCATTTGAAAAAGCTTATATATATATGCGATAAACATATAACTTGTACAGTACGATCAACTTTTTCGTCCAGTTTGAAATATTGTCACCATCGTATCCTGTATCCAAATTTTAATTGGTGTTCATGGTATATAATAAGAATGCCAATTAGCATGGCAAATATTATGATATTAACATTCTTAGCAAAAAAAATAATGAATTATTTAGTATTTACTCACGCGTACGTTTTTTTAACACCACTCACACGTACATTTTCTCCAATAGTTAAGTTTTTTTTTTTTTTAAACAGGCTATACAATATTAATGTCTCTATCTATACACCTGTGTAGCTGATATTATTGAATGCCAAATATATAAAATACTAGGGGTTGGCCCGCCCTACGGGCGGGTGAGTTGACAATAAAAATCAATTTATTTTACAATATTGAAAAATTTCTTTCAACTGAACATGATAATTTGTTTTTCTAAGATCACATTCTAAATTTCATTTTATTTTGTTGGTTTGAGTTGAAAGAATCACTAACTTTTTTTTTAAGAAAACACAAAATTTTAAATAAAAATGAGGATTGGCATTTATTCCTTTAATTTTTATTCACTTACATATAGTTGTAGAAATCTAAAGTAAGAAACAATTATACTAATTAACTTCTAACGATAATAAATTAATCCACCTTCAAGATAAATCAATTGAATATAGTGTAATGTGATAGATTATAAAATTTTATGTTTTAAATTACTTTATAAATAGTTTCAATAATCTCATTGATAATAATTAATATATTTTATTTAACAACAAATGATGTTTTATAATATATGTTTGTTTCAGTTGATATTAAATTTTAAGTTTATAACTAAATTTGATTTAACTTTTAGTGTTTTAATAATTTTTTTTCTAGATTATGTTGGCATTGTTGAACTTTGTTTTATAACAAATTATTTTGTCCGAATATAATTTATCCTTGTTTTGTATATAGAGTAATTATTTCCATGAGTATAAAGGTTTTGCTAATTTGTATGTATGAAACAAAACATTGTTGGACAATTTTCCTACATGGTTGAGGTGTTATGGTCTTTCATTTTCTTTTTGTCTGAATGAATTTCATTTATAAAGGCATAAAACCTTAAGGTCCATAAAAAAATAGAAACTGCTGGCACTCATCTAACTCAAAGAAAAAATCATAACAAAGTTTAGCAATCAAGAAGAATAAGAACAAAGTTTAGCAATCAAGAACAAACTACACAACGGTATATGTTCTTTCTTCAGCAAACAAACCGCAAAGCCATCTCGGTGCTCTTTTACTGACATACGATGGAAGACAAAGTTCCTTAACAACACTCTTATCCTCGAAATGGTGGAGGACTGATGCTTTGAGGAGAAGTTCAAAGGGGATAACCTAAATTGGAAGGTGAAAGTATTGCAAGCCGAAAATTTAAACACTCTAGAGATCTACTGTTGTGGTCTTTAACACATGGGTTCTGCACATATAGACCATATAGTTTTTCAGCGGCAATGTCTATAGTGATAGAGCTGAAGAACTAAACGTAGTGGTTTTGTTCTTACCATAAGCTGTGCAACCTTGGCTGCACATGCAATTTTAGCTTACTAATCTCACCATCAAATGCGACCAAGTCGCCTGAGCTATCGGAGGTTGAAAACTCCACAAGGCATCAGAAATAGTTTGGAAACATAGATGATAAAGAGAATCCAAGTTGAAGTGAAGACCTGTGGATCAGAGTTAAGGACATATGCATTCAGCTATGCCATTATCAGTCTCTATTTTATGAACACCATCATACTTTGTCGAACTGGACGTGGCCACATCCATTGCGCAGTTCATGTTAAATGCAATATTTAAGAGGGGGGGTGGTGAGTTTCATAGCAGGATATCTGTCTTACGAAATTTTGGTGTGGAATTTAATGGTAGACCATGCCAATTGCCAACTATATTGAAATTAATATACTGATATATGCTTGCCAAAAATAAAGTTGTGAGCTTTGCGAACCTGTATGAAGTCAACTGAAATGTGCAAATATGCAGTTTTGTCAAACCTATAAAAGAGAGTAAACAGAATGATCAATAGACAGCAGACTCAAACAATAGGGCATCTATAAAATCTATATGTCTGGCTGTATAAAGACTTACCAGAGTCTGGATGCAAATAATGCACTTTATACACATGTCATGTATATCCACAAGACTGGAAGCCAAAAATATGTGAAACAGAAAAATATTATAGAAAAAGTATAGGCAATAATAAAGCAAGCATGCTTACATTTAGAATGTCAGTCTAACAGATGAGACAACCTACACTGTAGAAGAAGATAAGATACTTATTTACCTGATAATTAACCATTAGGTGAAATACACCAGATGAGCATGAAGCTTTGAATACCTTGAATACTTGAATAAGAAAGAAAGCTACGAACTAAAAAAAAACAAATAGGGATCATAAATCAAGGTGGAAAATTGAAGTAATTGGGAGATAGAACTCACTGCAAAACTAAATCCAAAAACAATAGACACTAATTAAAGACAGCTTATAAACGGAAAAAAGGACGAACAAATCGTTATAGTCAGTAACACTATGAAATAAAACTTTCTGACACAAAGCTCTTGAGACGCTATGGTTTCATTTGGATTCAAATCTCAGATTCTAGATTAACACCAGAAGTGAAATTCATGAAAGTGAAGTATCCTTATAGAGAATAACACCAGATGTGAGAAGGAGATATAGGTTAGTACACACATCTTGTTTATTATCATTCCCATCTTTCTTTGTCTACACTTCTCAAAAGCAAACAAATCGAGTTAAGATTTAATGAAACGCATTGGAGATTCGAAATCTGGAAACAAATCAGATCCGAGAAGAAGGGATTTGTACCAGTACCTCGATTTGGGAAGACGAAGAATGCGAATCTCGGCTTCGGAACAAAAGCACGAATCAGAGGAGACCTCGGATAGAAGCCGATCGTTGGAGTGGTGGGTCCTTTCATCGCAGGCAACGATTCTATTTATATGCAGAACTTCAAACAGTTACGTTGGAGGATGCTAATGGAGTTTTAATGGAGTGGAAGGAGTGTTGATAAACCTGTAAACGCAGAGAATATGTATTCAGAAGACAATAAGTCAAGCTAATATACAGACGAAGGTAGTAGGATGTGAAATTTGAAGAGTCAAAACAATTATATTTTGCATCCCCATTCGGGAAAACAAACCAAACTTTAATAAATATATTGGCTTATTTTCTAAAGATTTAATAGCCTATTCCATTGATCAAATTTAAAATTAGCCCAAATTTAAAGAATGGGACAGGTGTCTTTTTTTGCCCTATGTTTTGATGCTGAGGTGTACACTCTAAGAAGGGAGAAAACTTGATTTTATTGTATAAGATAAACACGAAACTTGTCATTGCACAGTTTCTCCGGTCTTCATGTAGTTATTTTGTGAGAAAATTGGTATAGATATCTGGTTGGTTAGAAGAATGTATACATACCTCTTGTTATTTAATTAATGTAAAATGAAATACAATTTTTATTTTTTTTGTTCATCACGTCTTTTTCCTCAATGATAGTATAAAAACAATATACTCTATTGCGAATTCATCACGCATGATGTATTCGGCTTTTACCAAATAAATATTATTTTTCCTAAGCAAATTCTCAATATTCACTACAGTTAGTATATTTCTTTGAAACAAGAGTCTAGTATTTGTTTTGTTATTCCAAATATGTCGGTCGTTTCTAATTTATGCATCTTGATTTTTTTTTGTGATTAGTATTATTATCGTGTTATTATTTATATTCTAACATGGTAGAATGCATGTTTTTGAAAGAGATCTGTTGGCAAAGACATTCCCTAAATAACTTTGTACATTCCGTGTATTTTTACGCGTGCAACCAAAACATATACCACTTCATCATCTATCTCCAAACTTGTAAACATATGTTTTTAATTTGATTGGTTATCTAATATAATTTATACGCGGAACAATCACATTTAAATGTTTAAAATAGTATAAAAACCGTTAACAACTTATTGACAGTAAAACTTATTTTCTATGTTAGACTGTTTATATAATAAGTTAGAAATCAGATTTAATTTTGATCTCACGAAGGTCCATTTTGTGTTTAATTTACATATGAAAATCTGATGGCAAAGAAAAAAAAGGAAGAAACTGCGGATTGGTTCAACTACTCTCCGTGAAAGTATGGTTTCGTCGCAGAAGAGTAAAAGGCTGTGTGAGGCAACGTCACCACCTGACCACCACCATGTGTGCTAATTTTCTGAAGCAGATATACCTTTTCTTTTCATCAAATCATACACCTACAAAAGGCTACTACATATACCATCCATTAAAAAAAATCATATAATTTTAGTAGAAATAACATCTTTCTAGTTATGGACTTTTTACAAATACTCCAACATTTATACAACTTAGTTTTCTACAACTACATAAGCCCTGTTCTTTTAATTTTCGCAGCGGTCAGCGGCTGCGTCAAAAAAAATCCCTATGACACCGGCAAATTGATCGAGTTTTGAAAACTAAATCTGAGGCCAACAAGTTGACGGAGACATAATTAGCGGAGGTCGCTGACGCTGCTACCTTTCAGCGTCAAGTTTAATTATTATATTTGCCGCAGCGTCTGGGAAAACAAATAGGTTTTGTCCCGCCAGCGGTGTATTTGCCCTGGACATAGGTGTAAGTTTTGAACGCTGATGCTGGTTCCAGAGTTTGTAAAACGAACAGGGCTATAGTCTACATTCCTTCCCACAGCTAAACTTTTTATTTAACTAAGAATATGTTTTCAAATGACAATTTATTTTGCATAAAACCATTACTATACTCATATGTTATTAATTTTATGTGATATACTACTAAACTTATAAAGGTGAAATTAAATCTAGCTCAATATTTATTTTAAGCAATGCAAATATGCCCAACATTATTAAAAAAATAAATATGACAAGGAATATAATTAGTTCACATTTAAAAAAAAACTCATGATATTCGAGAAAGCAGAGAAACTCTTGCTTTTTTGAGAAAAAAATAATAACTTCACCAATCACGCCTTCTAGATACAAAGTCAAATAAAAATAATAATATTTAAAATCAAAAAATTCCAATTGAACGCGCTTTATTTAAATTATTTCCTATTCGATATATATCACAGTTGGCTCATAAAGATTTTATGTTATTTCCCAGATTTGTATTTGATTATTTTCTTTGCTTGCATAACTCTCTCTCACAAGTACTTACCCTTTTCTTTTTTGATCAACACGTATTATTGATAATAACGTATCTACTAAGGGTCTGACTGGTTGAAACGCGGCGGTTGCGATTGCGGTTGCGGGAGTTTGCGGATGTGGGTGGTTGCGGTTTCTAGCGTTATTAGGCGATTTGTACGACTGGTACAGCGATTAAAAACTGGTGCGTTTGCGGGACATTTATGACTGGTTGATTATGAGATACTACAGCGGTTTAATAATAAATTTCCAATATTAACA